AGGGGGAGGAGCTGTGCTGCGGGGGGCCGGTGTCCCCAGGGAAACAAAGGCCACAAGCGGGTGCAGCGCGGCAGGGACCTTGGCCGGGTGATGCCACGGGGCAGCGTGGAACAGGTGGTGAAAGTGCCGGGTTAATTAGCAGGGTGATAAGGAGGGGGCGGGGCAGGGCGGGGGCAACTGGAGCCCTGAGCAAGGGGGCCAGTGAGCAGGGGACACCCTCAAGCCCCCCAGAGCTGCCAGCTACAGCAGCCCTGTGGAGTCCCACCAGGCCCCAACTTTGCCACCTGTGCCCTGCCATTGACACGCCTCTGGGGTGGGAGGGGGTCCCCAGAGCAGTCTCCAGGGGTGCCCTCCTAGAGCCCTGGCGCCCCTTGCCCTCCCCACTTATCCCTTCTTGCATCATGCAGCCACAATCCCGCCCCCCCCCCACTCCCAAGGGCGGGGCAGGGGTGGGGCACTGCCCTGACAGGCAGCTGAGCTGGCCAATCACAGTGGGTGGCAGGGCAGGGCAGGGCCCACCCCCGTGGGTGACAGGCGCCAGCACGCAGCAGGGCAGGGAGTCCAGCACCGGGCTCTGCGGGACGTGCAGCTCAGGGCACATGCCCCCTCCAGCCCCATGACAGGGTGTGAGCCCAAGGGGCAGAGTGTGGGCATGGTGCCAGGCTGTGGGCACTGGTCCTGGGCTGCAGCCCTGATCCTGCTGTTGGCTTGGCTGGGGCCAGGCGGCACAGCTGTGGGGTGCCCAGGGTGTGGGGTGCCAACCCCAGTGCCAGGGCCCGCGCTGCTGGAGCTGGCCAAGCGGCAGCTGCTGGACCGGCTGCACCTGAGCGAGAGGCCCAACGTGACCCGGGCCGTGCCCCGTGCCGCAGTGGCTAGCGCCCTGCGCCACCTGCACCCAGGTCGTGCCCGCCTCCAGGGTCTGCTGGGCCCCTTTGCAGCCTGGGCCGGCCCCGCCGCTGAGGTCCAGGGCTACGAGATCGTCAGCTTCGCCGAGACTGGTCCGTGCTGTGCCGGGGGTGGGGTGGTGTCCTAGACTGGGTGCCC